CGGATTTCTTATATAAATATGAATGAAATCAAAAATTGTCTTCATGTGGTTTTCTTAGAAAAACCGTTCCAATCTATATTGGGAATGACTGTATATAATTGTATAATATTTAAATACATTTACTAATGATATTAAATTTTTATTCATTACTTTTAGCTGTTAATGAAACTCAAATTGGCCCCGGTGCAACTGGTATGCCTAATGTTGGACAACTAATAAGTAAAAAATTTGTCATAGTTTTAAATTTATTTTTATTATAAAAATATTATTGTTATACGAGTAAATGTTCAATTCATTATTGTGACCACTTTTATTTTTATTAAATAGACAATTAATATTTTAATTATTTTAATAAATTATTACAGCTATCACCCCATTTATAATGTCTAACGTAACAGTATGGTCATCAGCAAAATGTACAGGCTCAGAGATCAGTTACATACAACTCCGAAACCTAACCTTTCCCACTGAACTCACGTGCAATGGATACAAATCACTGAACATTAGTTTCGCATACGATGTGATCCTAAATGATAATACATTAGAGAAATTGCCGATCAGTAATACCTCGGTTTATATAACTTATTTAAACGGTATGTAAATATACAAAATACTGTATATCATTGATTTATTTTCAATTATTTGAGACACATTTACAACTGTATTGACATGGTAACATTAGTTTTAATGAATTCTATTTTAGTAAATAATATTTTATTTGGTAGATGAGTGTCACGAAACATTATAAAATTATTAAAAGTTTTAATTTAAAACCGCATAATATACTTCATAATTTACTTATCATCTAAATTAACATGACTAATTATTTTGTAAATTATTAACATTACTACGCTATTAGTAAATTTACACAAATAACATATTTATTATAATTATAACATTAAATGTGCAGGTAACCTTAACGAAATAATTACGGGAACAGTAACCGGGGGCCGTTGTAGTGGAGACGTACTGTTCCTGTTTACTACATACCTGGCCGATGACCAGCACGGGTGCAGTAATGGGAAAGGGCTCTACGGCGTGACCGTTAACTACATATACGGCGGTCTGACCGGATCCAAGTGCCCATCAAATTGTACATTAGATACTGGTTTTATTACGTTTGATACACCCATGCATAATAATGTACTAGCTTAAATATAAGATTTTTATTAACAAAAACTAACAATAAAATTATACACTAGAAGCCTAAAACTAATCTTGATAATTTTACAACTAATGAACTGCATGTTGAACTTTAATAATGAATATAAATTTGTATATTAATATTTTTATTTTTATAAATAAAAATTGATAATGATTTAGTAATTGTAATAATTTATAAAAAAAATAAATATAAATTTCAATTATTATGAAAAACTATGATGCCGTGTGTTGGCCATATTATAATACAATCTTTATAAATAACATAAATACTTAATATTTCAAATTTTGTTACAGTTTTAATACTTTAAGACTTTAATAGTCTATTGAATTATGAATGAAAAATAAATATAGAAATAATTTAAAAATTAATAAGTTTAAAAATAAATTTTAGATAATAGCCAAACGTTTTCGGTTTTCATCGAGACCATCATCAGGGCTAAGATGTTAAGCGATAATTGAAATGATTTTTGTGTTTTTTGTGTAATTAATGTTTGAATTGTGAGGTCTCGCGAAACGAAGTATTATTTATTTTAAAAGTTGTAAAACATTTTAGAAAATTATGCAAAACGTGAAACAAGATTTTCCCACACTTTCCATTCAAAAGATTATTTTCTTTTACTTTTTGTATTTCAAATAAAAATTACAGTTTTAATTAGTATTGTAAATACTGTATAATACCAGTATATTTATAATTGAATCCAAACACAATTGTCAACTGATCATAGTTAGTGGTTGATTTACAATTTGATAATACTTTTATAAATGTAACAATGCACTTCTTTCTACTTCATACAGTCAGTCTCTAAATAGAGTAACCTGGTTTTTCTAAGAAAACCACATGAAGACAATTTTTGATTTCATTCATATTTATATAAGAAATTCGGAATTTTGTGATAAATTTTATAAATTGACAATTATTTGGTTGTGACCTCGGTGTCAAAGGTTATTTCCAAAAAACTGTTCCCGAGGTTACACTGTACATATGAAAAATCTAACATTTTCAAGTAATTTGTAAATTCATAAATGTTTTGACGTGTTTCGGGAATTTGCAAGATAATTCATGGATCACAAGAT